CCGCTGTTGCCGCTGCACTGGCCGCTGGCTCCCGCTGCCTCTGCCCGGTTACAGCTGCCTGTCTTCACACATTCTCCTGTGGGAGCTGTGCTGTTCACACGGGGCTGTGAAGTCGGGTGCTGTGGAAGATCTCCCTCCCTCCCTGCTGGGAGACCTCTGCCCTGGGCCCAGGGGAGGGGGCTGAGGAAGCCGCTTCCCATAAAGGCCCACCAGTCTCCTTCCTGCAGGCTACAGAAGGGGGAACTGAGGCCCGGGGGGGCCAGAGGGCTGCTCTGGTCCTGCCGTAAGAGTCGGAGTGAGGAGGGGAGCCTGGAGACTGTGGAAGGTTGCCAGTGTTCCTTCTGCCAGGAGCGCCCCAGGCAGAGAAGGGGGCCAGGCGGCCCACAACTTCCCTGTGGAGCGGAACATGTGTGAGCAAGCCCATGTATGAGGGAGCGTGTGAGGGCGTCTAGGCGAGGATGTAGTGTGCATGTGAGCGAGTGGGTGCACTGAGTGGTATTCAAATGGCTCAGGAAAGCAGAACCATTAGTAGATCAGGTTTTGGGTTCAAGTTCTTATCCCAGTAGTCCCAAGACTTCTGTGCAAAGTCAGAAAGACCACATAGGACCTGTGGGCTCAAGATGGCTGAAGGAATAGTCTGGAAAGGCCTGGTCTGGGCCACCTCTCCACTACTCCAGGTTTAGAGCAGTATGGCAGATAGAATGCAAAAAATAGCTCTAGTTGTCCCCACCTCGTCCCTGAATCCACGGGTCTTGCAGCTCCAGCTGCAGCCTGCTCAGATCCTTGAAACTAGGTTGCCTCATGACTGTTGACTCTCCCCTGCCCTCCACCACACTTTTTTTTTTTTGGTTTTGTTTTTAAAAGATTTATTTATTTTTATTGGGAAGGCAGATTTCCAGAGAGAAGGAGAGACAGAGAAAAGATCTTCCATCTGCTGGTTCATTCCTTGTGGCTGATCTGAAGTCAGGAGCCAGGAGTGTTTTCCAGGTCTCTCACATAGTGCAGAGGCTTAAGGCTTTGGACTGTGCCCTGCTGCTTTCCCAGGCCACAAGCAGGGAGCTGAATGGGAAGTGCAGCAGCTAGGACAGGAACCAATGCCCAGATGGGAGCTTGGCACCTGCAGGGGGAGGATTAACCAGTAAGCCATCACACCAGGCCTTGTGACTCCTGCCTTTGCAGGAGGTGGACAGGGCATGCATGGCTTCTCATCTAAGACCTCTGTGTTCTCATGGGACGTGGTGTCTGCCCTGGAAGTGTCTAGGTTGGCCTTTAGAGGATGAGACACATGGGGCAAAGCCCAAACCCAAGGCCTTCCCTGTGCTGCCAAGGCCAGCAGGGCTACGTAGCTAGTCCCGAATGCATGGTGTGCCCTGCCAAACCCAGGTCAGGTTGGTAGACCCGCCCAGTTGATGAACAGCTTGGCGAGCAAAAATCAATGCCTTTCAGGCTGCGTCAGTGAGCTTTTATTTATAGTTTATCGCACTTAGGTGGCAGAAGTTAAGTGATACAATCTATGTCTTATATTTCACTTCCTTTTTAATTTCTCACATCAGCAACTTCATAGGCTAGGGACCAAACCCAGCACTGTTGCGACTCAGAGAATGATGCCTCAAAGTATGGTGCTCTGGCATGCTGAGTGCTGTGAACCACAAGGAACCAAGCTCGCTCTGTCTTGCCGCCCTCCTCTCTCTCTTTTTGCTCCCATCAGTCGCCGGAGGGGGCTTTCTCTGATTTTTCCCTAGCCGCCCCCCCAAAAGAACTAGTTTCCTTGGAAATCACACCAACCAGGGCAGGTTCAGTCATGGAAGAGCTGGGAGGCAGACACCCCGATGTTGGCACATGATGTTACTTATTCTTCCTACACTTTCCTCCCGGGACAACTGTTGCTGAGGGAAACTTGTTCTGTGTAGCAGGACAACCTCTGTCCACTGGGCATCTTCCTACAGCCCATCAGCACCACCTCCTGGAAGTTCCAGGACCCTGTTTCTCTCCACGGTGCAAGATACTACACAAACTTCTTGGAACGTTACCAGAGTCCTGTGTATAGGCACAAGATACACGTGTCTCCATTCGAAGCTGACTACTGTCAGTTCATGTCTGACAGCAACTGAGATGGGATCTCCAGATGGTTGGAGGCCACAAACGAGCAATGGCAGGAAGAACAGAAATGTGCACACCCTAAGCCGGGCACGAAGGCCCCTGTCATGATCATCAATCATCGGCTCTAGCAGAGTGCTTGTTTTCCTCGTTTTTCCTTTTGGGAATGCTTGATTCTTTCCTGTTAGTTACCAGTTTTCAGAATAATACATGTGCCAAGGTTATGTGTGTGTGTGTGTGTGTGTGTGAGGCCTCAGGTTTTAACGCATCGCAGGTGCCGTTGGTATGATGATGATAACGATGGAAGCCCCTCACCTCTTGATGACCCAACAACTAGCTTCCAGAGCCCTGCTGCACTGCCGTGGCCTTTGTGATGGTGCCTGTTCATTCCTGGTGGCATCCTCACCATTGATTACAGTACCTAGCACCCAGCAGGTGCTGCATGCCCATGTATTGCATACAGCAGTGGATGACAGCTTCTTGCACCTGACACAGCACGTCATGGGTGCTGTGTGGATCTGCGCTCCTTCTGTCTTGCTGCATGCTCCCAGCAGGGCTTGGACAAAGAGGCTGGAGGTGCTATGGTTCGGTCCTGCTCATGGGTGCTGCACGAGTGGATATTTCCCCTTTCAGGATCCCTTGCTCTTCTTCCCCCTGGGGATCAGCTCTGTGCTCAAGCACTGCTCCCTGGCTAGGGGTGCAGGTTCTTTTTCTGACTCTGGGCTGGAGACATTCAGGGAGAAGGGTGAACTTGGTGAACCCAGTGGGGGTGCTGGAGAGAGAGAGAGAGAGAGAGAGAGAGAGAGAGAGAGAGAGAGAGAGAGCGTGAGCGCAGAGCTGTGTGTTGAGAGACAGGAAATGCTAGTTCATGATCACTGCTCCATGCCAATGGCTGTTTCTTTTTCTTTTCTTAATTTTTTGAGAGAACAAAATATTTTTTTTTGATAATGATTACCCATGTTTGGTCAGGGTGGGAAGGATTGAGGGTTAGGAAAAAGTGGATGATGTCATTGTTTATAAATTTTCTATTTTTCTTGACTCTGGGGGAAGTGGAGGGATAAAAGGGGAAGCCACACACAGCCTCCCAAATGTCCTAGTACTGAGGGATGGGGAACTGCCACCCGATATCAACCCAGGGTCCTGATGTTGGCATGTTCTGAGGGTACTGAACAAGTGGTTTGAATGGTTCTGAATTGCTGTCCATTTTGCCAATCCAAGGGTGAGCAACCCTCGCAATGCCCACTGGCTGACATAGTCAACCTCAAGTCTCCATTCACCTAGCTTTTTGCTGTCATCGTTTGCTGAGGTATTGTCCAATTTGCTCTGTTCTCCTTCCTCTGCTACAGTACCAAATGGGCTGTCATATTCTCCATGTGCTTTAGGGTCTGTGTCCACTGCTTTGCCTTTTTCACTGAGGGGGGCATATTTTTGCAGGCAAGTCTAAGGACAAGGACATGAGCCCTGCCGGATCCCCCATCCCTGGGGCTCACAAACCTGCCACCCATCTCTCAGGTGGGCCAAGAGACCCCAGCCAGGTAACCTGGTCCCTCACCCCTTGGGGCTCATGAACTCAGCACCCCCTCTCTGGTGGGCTCAAGGACCTGGATGGCTCAGTTTCTGAGTCTCACTTTCCTCTTGTATAAAATGGCCTGAGAATATGCATGCTGCTGTTGGCGATTCAATTTCCTGGGCTCAGTGAATCGTAGCGACCATGTACCTGTTTGCAGCTCACTGCTTTTCCCTCCCAGTGCTCTGGCTATTGCATGGAATCATCTTAGAAGCTACATTCCAGGGGGGTGTACGGTGGTCACAGGACCTCCTGTGTTGGGTGGCAGAAATGTGTCATCGGACTTCAGGCTGCCAAATGGGACAGCATGGGGGGGTCTTTGACCCTTCACAGCTTTGTGTAACTGGGGAAAAGTCCGTTCATTAAGCCTCTTCCGGGTCTCCCACACGGGTGCAGGGTCCCAAAGCTTTGGGCTGTCCTTGACTGCTTTCCCAGGCCACAGGCAGGGAGCTGGATGGGAAGTGGGGCTGCTGGGATTAGAACCAGCGCCCACATGGGATCCTGGGCGTGCAAGGCGAGGACCTTAACCACTTGTGCCACTGTGCCGGGCCCAGATCTATTTATTTTTATTGGAAAGTCAGATTTATAGAGAGAAGGAGAGATAGAAAGATCTTCCATCCACTGGTTCACTCCCTAAATGGTGTGAGTCCCAAGGCTTTGGGCCATCCTCAACTACTTTTCCAGGCCACAGGCAGGGAACTGGAAGGCAAGTGGAGCAGCTGGGACACAAATTAGCACCCATATGGGATCCTGGCACATGCAAGGTGAGGACTTTAGTCACTAGGCTATCACACTGGGCCCAAGAAATAACCTTAAAAAAAAAAAAGATAAGCATGCTAGTATCAGTTGAGGTTAGTGTACATGTTATTGCACCATCATAGCAGCTGCTCGTCTGGGTCAGAAGTGGGCATACACCCTTCCATTTACACACCCAGGAGTGCTGGGACCCAACACACTGCCAGCTGGCAGTATATACACCCTCTGCACGGCCCTCTGTAATCCTTGGGGGCAACTGCATTGGGGCTAGAGTGTCAGGGGAAAGGACAAAAGTTACACCTCTAAGGATTCCATGGCTGAGGCAATAATTTAGAACTGGTTTCTCCTCAAGGAACATGCACCAGGAACAATGAAAGAAAAAATGTACATCAGGGTGTCAAGGTTCAAAGACACCTGGAGTTGAAAGTATTTATGAATTATAAAAAATTGATAACAAGTAAGGATGAAACTAGGACTGAAGAGGCAGGAATGGAAACAATGTTATGCAAGGTCATGGCCATTTCAGGGAGAAGAAAAGATTCTGCTGCAGTGGCACCTCCTTGTTACTGGGATAGGCCAACTACCTCTGGGCAACATTAGCTACTTTCTGGTATGAAGGTTGAGGAGCTGCATGGCTGGGGTACACAGCATAGGCAGGAATGGTGGTAATGTTGGCCAGGCTGGTGGCAGTGTGGACAGGGCCGGGTGTAGTGTTGGCAGGCACGACGACAGTGGTGACAGTGCCAGAGGCAGGGTCAACAGGGTGGACGATAGTGCCGACAGTGCCGGTGGCAGTGTTGACAGGGGTGGTGGCAGTGCTGACAGGGCCGGTGGCGGTGTTGATAGGGCCGAAGGTTGTGTTGGTTGTGTTGACACCGAACATCGTTGTAAACATTGGTGTGTCCTGAAAGGCAAAAGACATGAAGCCATTATCTTCCTCTGCAGTGAACTGCAAAAATGGGTACACATTGCCCCTTTTGTTGTTTCCACATCCTTGGGTGGACCCTCACTCACTTGGTTACAAGAGTGTCATTGGCTAAGGGGACATCAGCAAATGTGATGCAAGCAGAGACCTGCAGACTTGTGAGGTGTGTATCCCTGGGGGGCTTGCTTCCTCTTGTGGCTGTTTGGAGCACCAAACATGGAACGGCCCAGCCTGGCCTGCTGGGGAGTGAGAGACAAGCAGGCCACTTGTCCCTGTTGACAACCAGCTTGCTGACTGTCAGATGTGTGATTCCATCTGTGGCCATACGTGATGATCCACCCTCTCATCAACTCCCCAGTAGCCTGCAGATGCATGGCAAGCCCTGCAGAGACAGCAAGAGCTGCCCAGCGCACTTAGTCATGAGCTAAGGAAGTAATTGTCCCAGAGGCCACCTGGCTTGGATCTTTTTGATATATGCGCACAATAACAAAAACAACAACAAACATTAACACAGAAATTCATTATTATGAGTTGAAAGACAGAGAAAGTGTCTCATGTGTTGACTTTGGGACTGGGCGGCAGGTGGGAGCTGCAGAAGTAAGGAGTAAATCTCCTACAAAGACTGGGGACGTGATGATCTCAGCCCTGGGGGTTCCAGAAAGGAGAGGGAAACCTGCCATAGTGGGTTGATAAACGATTGCCCATGTCATATGGGGGAGCTGTGGTGCATACTGGAAGACAAACTATATCTAATGACTTCTTGTGTTTGGCTAAAGAGGTCATCACATGGAAAAACTTGGATGCGTCTGGTTGTGTATGAAACGGTTCTGTAAGAAAGAGAGCAGGTAGGGGCCAGTGTTGTGATGGGCAAAGCTGCCACCTGTGGTCCCAGCATCCCACAGGAGCACGGGTTAATGTCCTGGTGGCTCCACTTCTGATCCAGCTCCCTGACAGTGGCCTGAGAAAAGCAGTGGAAGATGGCTCCGGTGCTGTCAAATGGGTATCCTGGAGGATGAGATACGATGTGGAGCAGAGAGGGACCATTCCACTGAGATCTCAGGCTATTGATTTGGGATGTCAGTTTGCATGTTGGGCCTCGAAAATCTTAGGCTAATGATACTAAGAGGGTAGAAACGTAATCCAGTGATGGTGTTTGGAGGTAGGGGGTCTCTGAAAGGTGAGTTGATTGAGTTATTGGGGTTTCATGATTTTATGATTAAATTCTGGTGACATTTTGAAGAAATCATGTGATGGTATGGGAGGCCAGTGTTCTGGTGAGGTGCATTAAGTTGCCATCAACAGCATCCCATTATGGAGTTCCAGTTTGAGTTCTGGCTGCTCTGCTTTTTATCCGGTTCCCTGCTAATATGTTTGGGAAAGCAACAGAAGATAACCCAAGTGCACGGCCACTTCCACCTCCATGGGTGATCGCAATGCAGTCTGGCTTTGGCCGAGCACATGGTTGCTGCTTGAAGGTACTAAATTTGGGGTAGTTTGTATTAAACAAATCTAACTACTCAATCTCAGGCCTTATTTCTTCCCATTTTGGAGATCCATTGCTCCAGATCCTCAGAACATGCTGTGATTCCTGGGACAGTGTCCAATACTTACCTGAAAATGCTTATAGCAGACAGCCTGGCACCCAAAATGGGAGACTACACAAGTGAGGATAAACTCCAGCAGGACGAATGGGAGGAGACCACCAGAAATTGCCATTTTGTATCTCTGGAGGCATAGAAAGTAGAGAATTTTAGTTCTGAGGGTTGATGATTGCTGGGTCCATGCAGTAGGTGTGGACGACACGAAGGTGTGAAGACAACAGCTCCCCTGTTTGGCAGGGCCCAGGGGAGCTTCCCGCTGCATGGCAGGACCCAGCGGATGTCTCTGCAATCCACCTCCCTTTGCAAGAATACCCGGCCACTCTGTAAGAATTCTGTAACCTATTGAGGCATTGTTGTTTGCCCCTGCAATATGGTCTTTACAACTAATGTGAGCTTGGGAGTTAATGTTGGTGACAACTTCTTGGTGAACCGGCCTTTAACAATGTATGCTGTCTCGGTTGCTCTTATGGCCCTTTGGCTGTAAGAACTCAAGAATGCTTGTATTAAGATTGTAATACATGCTTTCAAACTAATTTAGGGTTATTGAGTCTGTATTTGTAGTGGGAATTTATGTTTGTAGTTTTTCTGTTTCTGACCTTTATCTTTTCCACTCTGTGATATATTTTCTCCTCTAACTGGTGAGTTGTAGAATGGGAGTTGTAGTAGGAGTGTATTACTGATTAATACGTGTTGCCTACTGAGGAATTCCTGGCTGCAACGTCAGAATGGATAATGCCCTGCCTTAACTTGAGACAATTGGCAGAATTATCCTTGGAAGCACCCACTTGTCCATTGTAGAGTTGAAATAAAAATGGAGTAAACATGGCTCATTGCCAACTGCAAATCTTTTCGTCTTTGCAACTCCTGCTTTACTTGCTTGGCTAACAAACTGTGTGAGCTTGCAAGCCTAATGGCCAACATGACCTTTAGTGCCAATGTCCCCAATCCCCATAAATCAAGGCCCCAGCCTTATTAAACCATAGATAATTCAAGATTGGGGTCTGGTTGTCACAGGTGGCACCAAGCTTAGCGCCAAGGCTGAGGAGAGCAGGCAGGGGCTGGCAAGCCAAGATAAGCAAGAAATGCGTAATCCTTCCTCACTCACCTCTTGAGCTGTTGTAAACTGTGCCCCCTTGAAGCTGTGTCAAATTATACTGTTCGGGGGCTGGCACTCTGGGTTGAGTGGATGCAACTCTATGACATAAAAAGTATGTACCAGAGCTGACTGCTTCTGTATGAATAAAGGGGACAGCTTCCTTGCATTGTCCATTATGATCCTGAAATTGCAGTGGCTCACTTCTTTTCTTTCTATGCCTATTCCATGCACCCCTCTCGAGTTCTGAACTCAGCTGGCTGGCTTCCAGCAGGTGATCAACATGACAGTCAACACCTGTAGAATTTACCTTATGCAAATGCCACTTGCTTCATCTGGAAGGCCCAAGAACCTTGTGTGGTACCTTGGAATAGCTCCTGTGAACACTCCTGTATGTCCTTGCTCACCCTATTTGCACACACTCGCCTGATTTCCAATTGCCAGCTGTTATATTTATTTGCCTTGAGGCTCCCACCTGTTATATCTGGAGCATACTTTGTTGATTGTCAAATAAGTCTGTGTTCCAAGAAATTAATGCCTTTGGAGAGCACTCCTGTGTGAATAGCTATCAAGGTTGGTACTTGCTTCCTTTCCCAGATTAACTGCTCATGTCTGAGTCTCCTTTTGGAAGGAACCTCTCAACTAACTCATGGCCTGTGAGTCCTATGTGAGGGAGTTGTAGCTCCTTACTGTGGTCAGGGGATGGATGACATAGAGTTCAGGGTCATCAGCTCTGCTTGGCTGCTGCTTTCCTATTCCTGTTTCCTGTCTACCTGTCTGTATGGTGTTCTTGGCAGGAGCCTCAGAGCTTCAAGAGTGAGGGAACCAAGGCAACAGGAAGGGAATCCCGCAGTTCCAGTAGGCCAGTATGCTCTTGGTTTTGGTTCTACCCTAATAGAGTGACAAGGTCTCTAGAGTTCCTCTCTCATTCCTTACACCTGTCACCTCTGCATCAGAGCTTGGGAAGCCCAGAGTTTAGTCCATGCTTATTCAGATTCAGAGCCCTGTGCTGCATTGCCCTCATAAGCTCTTTGATGACACAGGTCCTGATGGACTAGGGATTGCTGCTCTTGACCCGCCAGAACCACAGCAGGGTGTCCATGTTGGACTCTAGAGGCCAATCCCTTGCCTGGGTTTGTCATTTACCATCACGTCCTATAAGTGTGAAGTCACATCAGTAGGATCAGGCCTCATCTCAGAGCTGGCAGGAAGTTCTTTGTAGGCAGCTCAAGTTTATATTTGACTTTAACCAAAAGGATGAGAAGCAATGCAGCTCAAGTTTAAGGACCCAGGTCCTGTTTAGTTAGCTAGTCTTGAGGATAGGTGAGGTTGTGGGCACTGTAGGACACATGACTGTTAATCTCATTCTTCATGCCTACTTTACGTCAATGCCACAGATGTCCTCCTCATATGATTTTTACCATGGCTAGCTCCGTGCCTGATTTCCAAGGGCCATAGTTTTCCAGACAACTTCCTTTGACTATAAAAGACTCTTCTGTCCACATGTATGGTGGGCTAGAAGGACTGGGAGGGTCTGTTTTAATCACTGGAGAATGGAGTTGGTGGATGTATAGATATACTGAGGACATACCGAGTGCATATTGGTGACTGCTACTGTCCCAAAAGGATGAAATTTCAGCAGTAGCTTGTTAAGCACACTCTCTATCCTGGGGTTTCTGCCCCTGGTGAATTCCAAGATCATTTCCAAAACAAATGACTTGCACCTGTATCCATGTTTATGCATCTGTCCCCAGATCAGACAAGAACTTAGCATCACACATCCCACTGGCAATAGAGGAACTCTCAGTGAATTCCTGGGGACAGATGACCATGTGAGTTTGAGTGTGACAGCTGCTCTGGCTTTTTCCCTGGGTTACTTCCTTCTGGGCTGTAACAATCACAGGGTTTAGGGGAAGGTTAAATCATTCTTAATCATGTGGTTGCTATGATGGGATGGTTTGTGGCTGCACTTCCTTCCTGCTCTGGAAATAATTTTGTCACTCTCTTGGTCCTCAGGAAGCACAGGGTCCTGGAAGTCAGGAGGCTCACCTTTATGAGTATTGGGTAAACGCTCAGGTCAGCAATGAGAATGAAGATCCCAACGAGGGAGAAGAGGGCGCTGATGATGTTTACAGCAATACTGCCATTCACCTGTAGGATGTGGAAAGAGAGGAAGTGGTGAGCAGAGCTCAAAGCCTGGTGTGTGGGAAACCTTGGGGAAGGAGGACAGAAGAGGAGTCATGGCAGAAACGAGAAAGTCAGAAGCAGGCATTTGGAGCAGTGTTTAAGAGCCTTCAGCCCACAATGGAGTGTTGGGCTTGAGTCCTGGCTCACTCCTGATTCCAGCTATCAGTTAATGCACACTTTGCAAGGCAGCAGGTCGTGGCTCAAGCACTTGGACCACTACTGTCCATATGAGATTCCTGGATTGTTCTCCTGGCTCCTGAGTTTTGCCTGACACACGCCTAGCTATTGTGGGCATTTAGGATGTGAGTCAGTTTCATTACTTAATTTTGGAAAAAGAAAGAGAGATGGTCATGCAGGGTGGAAAAGCCAGTTTGTTGCAATGTATTGAGGAGGTGAGAAAATTATTCTTCAACCAATGTTCATGGTCCTTTGGGGAAGTACCGTCCTTAGCAGTTAAGGGCTAGGAAATGAAATCTTGGTGACAGGGAGGCTGAGCAGCTTGGCAGAAGAAATAAGTGGGTGTTCCAGCTTGCCTTTGGGGGAGGTGTGAGAAAAACATGGTCCTTGGGGTGGAAGCCTGGAGCCTGGCTATGCAGGCATTAGAGTTTAAACTCTAGTGTTGCTTTTTTCAAGATTCATTTGTTCTTGTTGAAAAGTCAAAGTTACAGAGAAGGAGCAACAGAAAGATCTTCTGTCCATTGGTTTACTCCCCTAGTAGCCACAAGGGTTGGAGCTGAGCTAATCCAAAGCTAGGAGCCAGGAGCTTCTTCTGGGTCACTCATGTGGGTACAGGGTCCCAAGGCTTTGGGCCATCCTCTACTGTCTTCTTAGGCCACAAGCAGGGAGCTGGATGGAAGTGGAGCGGCTGGGGCATGAATCGGTGCCCATATGGGGGAACGGTGGTTGCAAGGCAACTAGCTACTAGGTTACTGTGCTGGACTCCTAGTGTGTCTCAGCTGAGACGTTTTCCCCCTCCGGTTATTCACAATCTGTCTCCTACTCAAGCTTCTTTTCTGTGGATTCAGGGAAAGAGTCAAAAAGGGGCTGCATTCCACATGTGAGCCAAGGTCAGGGCAACTGTAACACATAGAGAATGAGGTAGAGACTTCAGTCAGGAGTCAGATCTCAGAGCAACAGGGTTTGAAGGGGTAGCAGGAGGTGCCAGGAGGTAAAGTTCTTGGAGAGGGCACCAGACTTCCTAGTGCCCTCCCATTCAGAAGGTAGAAGACAGAGGGAAAACCATGCTGAAAAAGTGAGAGGGAGGGTGAGGATTTGAGCCAGGCATAATGGGTCTGCAGGGAGTGAATGGTCTGTATGTATCATCAAGCATCTTAGGGGCCACCATGAAGATCAAAATGTGACCAGAAGCTTTGCTGGGTGCTAAGGCAGAAAACAATTCCCCATGGGTGCAAGGGAAATTCTGGTTGGGTCTCTAAATTATTCAAGGCAAACATTCCCCTCAATTCTAGATCTAGCCAGAGCAGGGTGGGAAACATCTTACAAAAAATGGCTGAAATGTACACATCTTTTCACCCAGGGCGAGCTTTCTGCAGAATTCAGAGCAAACACCCAGGGCATTGCTCGAAGGAGCACTTTTTAGTTTTCCAAGGGGCAAAGTTTCTGAGTAGTAAAAGACAACTGTTGGGCCCGGCGCGGTGGCGCAAGTGGTTAAAGGTCCTCGCTTTGCACGCCCGGGATCCCATATGGGCGCCGGTTCTAGTCCCGGCAGCCCCGCTTCCCTTCCAGCTCCCTGTCTGTGGCCTGGGAAAGCAGTCGAGGACGGCCCAAAGCTTTGGGACCCTGCACCCGCGTGGGAGACCCGGAAGAGGCTCCTGGCTTTGGATCGGCATAGTATCGGCCCGTTGCGCTCACTTGGGGAGTGAATCATCAGACGGAAGATCTTCCTCTCTGTCTCTCCTCTCTGTATATCCGCCTTTCCAATAAAAAATAATAAAAAAATAAATCTTTAAAAAAAAAAAAGACAACTGTTGGTCAAAGGCTATCTTTGGAATCAAAGCTCTGGTTCCCTGTCCCATCTCTATCAGGTACTTTGCATTTGATCTTACCTAAGCACCTGACCTCTATGTGCTTTAATTTCCTTATGTGTAAAATGGGGGATAATAGAACTGTAAAGGTTTATGAGGAACCAATGGAATAAAGTGTGTAAAATTACTGAATCCAAGGCCCAACAGTGTGATGCTGTGGATTAAACCCACTGCTGTGACTTGTATCACATATCAAAATGCCAGCGATAGTTCTGGCTACTCTACTTCCCATCCAGCTTCCTGCTGATGCACCTGAGAAGGCAGTGAAGGATGGCCTAGTGTTTGGACTCCTGCCACTCATGTAGGACACCAAAGATCCTGGCTTCTGGTTTCTGCCTGGCCCAGTCCTGACTGCTGTGGTTATTTTGGGGGAGTGGATAGGTGGATGAAAGATCTCTGCATTTCCTTTTTCTGTCATTCTGCTTTCCAATTAATTAAACACATCTTTAAAAAAGTGCTGAACCCAGGCCAAGACCAGGTCACAGTTCTACTGCGACACCTCCTTTAAATAGATGGTCAGGTTCTAACTCTCCCAGCTCATCACAGAGGGCACTGGTACTCACCACGCAGGAGCTGTGGTCTTTCTCAGCACATATGGAGAGGGATCCGGACACAATAAACTACACAGACGAAGAAAACCAATGAACAAAAACATATGAGCTGTTGAGTGGTGTGTTAAAAAAAGACAGCCATCCACCCACCTCTGAGTTCTGCAGAACTTGTCTTCCAAGATGTGTAAATCTGTTTCTTCCCATCAATATTCTCACTTTCCCAATGGTGAGGGCACCAACCACGCAAAATCCAAGGATAATCCAATTCCTGTGTGTCTAGGCCAAAGCCTTCCTTTCTCCTAAAAATCTTGAATTTTTGTTCCAGGATGCCATGGAGCTCACTATTATTTTTTATTTTTTTCTCATTCTTCTTGAGTCCACTACAGGGACATATCATTGCCCCAATTCCTTTATTGCCTATTTGATCTCGCATTGCCTACATGCAGGTCAAGTGGGAGAACAGGGGTGGAATTCTCAATGGGGAGAACTCAGGGTGAAGAGGGGAGCTCAGGGGCTTGTTGGTCTCTTGAGGTACTCTTTAAAGAACTGCAGGAAGCTGGAAGGTTGGAGAAAAAAGGGCAATTTTGTGGGGTTTGTGGCAGAAGGTGAGAGGATGTGTGTGCCACCACCTGCTGAAGGTGCTGCTTGGTTTTCCAACTGTGATATTTTTCACACAGATGGAGCTTTATTGTGTTCCGGTTGTCTGCCCGAGAAACGGTATTCTTGCCACCCTTGCATGGGACAAAACTAGACTTGGGGTCCGGGCCTTGAGGTTTGGGGTGGCTTGCAGCTCCCCACAGTGTGGCGGCTGTGGGAGGTACCCCTGCTGGGCAGATCCAAGGCTGGGGACTCAGGCCAAAGGCACTGCCTGGCACCAAGGCCAGTTTTAGTGTAGGTGAGAGATGAATTCTGGGTGATTCGCAGTAACAGGGTCATGAAACTTTCGGGCAAGCGTGGGGACTGAGACCTGATGGTTTGGAGGGGAGTGTCCAAAAGATCTATTTGGGCCAGATTGATTCACTAGCCAAATTAGGAATCCTAAGATGGGCTGTTAGCATAGAGCATCACTGACGGCCACACACCAGTCCATACCAAGCTATGGATGGGGGCCTGTCTGGCAGGGCTAGGTACCATTAACTTGACTGGGTGGTGGAATAGTGGACTCTTCTTATTTGGCAGGGTCAAGATGCTAACCAGCACATGAGAGAACTTGGTCCAGGGGTAAAGTCTGTGGGGGAAGTGTGGGCCCAACCCTGTGGAAATACAAGTTTCGCAGGTTAGCTCGTGAGTTGGGGTGGCGATGGGCTTAACTAGGAGTGACCATGACACCTACCGTCACTTATGGGTAAAAGAACCAATGGCAATCTAGGCAGGTCAAGGCAGCACCATTTGAAGGTGCATCCTAAAATTGAATGTGGGGCGGGTGAGCTGCAACTGGAAGGAGGCGGACCGGGCAGTGACAAGCAAACTTCAGCTCACAAAAAAGGAAAGAAATCAGGATGGAGCACAGGTCATTTTGACCTAAGCTCTTACCTCAACTGGTCTTCATGAGCCAGGGATACTAGGTCACAGCATTGAAGGCAAAGGCTGAGACAGGTGAGGTGCTAAGCCAAATGGGTCAGAGTACCCACAGACATGCGCACAATCTAGGGTTGGGAATAGACTGTTGGGGAGCTGTGAGAGTACACCCTTGCTGGGTTGGGATTCCCACGGGAGGGTGTGGATGCTGGAGTGGGGGCTGTGTTCTGTTCTAGATATGGCTGCAATCTCCCTTGGCATAAATGTGAACTGGGGCTGGGTGCACCAAGCTGGGCTAGATGCTAGCACCAACTGGCTCTCTGGAGAACCTGGGTAGATGTAGGACGGACTAGGCTGGGTCTCTGCCCCTACTGAGCCAGGTGTGAGCAGTGTCTGGGTATGGACAAGCCTTGGCTGGGGTGAAACAGCCAACATCAAGAACTGGAATGGATTGAAGGCCAGCAAAGAGAGCTGGCCCATGGAACCACCAGTACACACAAGTTCTGGCATAGGGAGAGGTTCTGATGGAGGAACAGGGGCAACTCCTCTGTCAGGACACAGTCCTTGCAGGTGAGCGCAAGAACCAAGAAAGGGAGCAACCCAGACCAGGCCAGAGGAAGATATCCACTATCATACATATGGCATAGGTAGGGAGCAGACTAGGCTGAACCCATTCACATCAACTGCTGGTGAATCCGAGCACCAGAATAGTGTGTGGGTCAGGCCAGTTTCGGTCGCAACACATACCAGTGCACATTAAGGAATGCCAAGGTGAAGTGAGCTGTATCAGATGCACCCAAACAGCACATGTGAGAACCAGGGGGAAGGAGGCAAAGCTGACAGGAGAATGTGGGCTCTCCTGCTGGACAACCCTCCCATTGGAGAGCAGGAGTTGGGATGGGGGCAGTCCAGACCAGGCAGGGCTACAACATCTGTGGGCCTCATGTGAGCTAGATTGGGGAAGGGCCAGATTGGGTTGACTATTCCGACTGGTGCAAGCAAAAATCAGAGTGGGTGAGGGTTAGTTGGACTTTGCCACATCATCAGATGGCAGAGGCTGACATTGGGGACTAATTCTGTTAAGTTAAATGCCAGAACCACCTGGAGAGTGCATAATCCAGAAGTTGGAGTGGACTAGCAGGGAGATAGTGGGTACCTCCTTTGTGGGTAACCACTCCCACTGGAGAGCACAAAAACCAGGACAGGGGCAGAGGTGGCTAGACAGAAAGGCACCTGCCAGTATGTGTGTGGGCTGGATAGTAGGTTGGTTGGGTTGAACTAGGCTTCAATGCCCTTTGATAAGTATGAGAGCTAAATAGGATGTGGGAGAGACTGAACAAGCCTGTGGTACATACTGGCATGCGTGGGAACCAGGATAGGGAGCAGGCCTGGTGGGGGTTATGGGGAGTCACCCCAACTAGGCTGCAGCTCCCACTGGTTTGCATGAGGACCAAGTATGAAGTGGGTAGGATCGAGCTGGACTACAACACCCATTGGTTCAAGTGGAAGACAGGGCTGGAAACAGAACTGACCCAGCAATTGCAACAACCAGTGTGTGCATAAGCTGATTGGGGTGACAGATTGTGATGGACCATGTGCTGGCAAACTTGCAGAAAAATCAGGTTAGGAATCATCTCAGATGAAGTTTCTTTGGAGATCCCTCCAACTGAACTGCTGATCTCAGAACCCCAACCATGAAGAGACTATGTCAGCTAGTGGATTCTGAATAGGTTTCATCATGATTGGAACGGCAAGATTGGCAGCAATTCAGAACTGTTGAACTATCAAAACTGCTTGAGCAGGACCCTCAGAACTTGCCTCACATCGGGGGCCTGGGATGGGTGGGAGGCTGGGTGGGGCTTTTCCCTCTGTTTTTCCTCTGACCCCAGATACAGGGAAAAAAATGATATTAGTGTGGAAACAATGATAATACCCACTTTCCTGTAAAGCAAAAAACAAAAAACAAAACAAAACTAGACTTGGGCTCTTGACCTGGAACAAGGTCATCAGAGTATGAAAGCTGCCGAATCCAAGAGGAGCTCATTCTTGTTTGACCCAGACAGAATTAGAGCTGGGAAGGGACGAATGGGGAGACATTCAAGTCTGCTCTTGGAAAAAAGTCTCACAAGAGACTGCTTTCAATCTTCTAAAGTTCCACGACTGTCCTACCTACCCCTCACACACATTTTAAAAGATATTCTTAAAGACCATGGCAGTTGGGGCCTGGAAAGAGCTGCTGTCAGCTGCTGCCTCTGCTCTCTAAGACCAGTGAGCTCTGCGTCTGAGCAGCCCAAGTCAGTTTCTCCCTTTTTGCTGATGGACGCTTTCCCTTGCCTTCTTGAATCTGGCCATGGTTACTGTGGTGTGCTTGCTTCGCAGTGCTCTGCTCTTGCCAAGGAAATCACAGTTCTCTGAGAATTTCTGTCTGACTACTATTTAGACTGCGAAGGGTCATGTGGGCAAAGTAGAAAACTGCAAGTTTATAGGTTTTTTTTTTGCTCTAAATTTTGAATTTACATTTAACATGAGAATCTTTCTAAGTATGAATATTTGACATGTTGTATTTTTTTTCACTCAGTGCAGTGCTATTGGCAATTGAGCAGGAGCAATCAAATCGATTTGTTGAATCATAAAAATGTTAAGTCTTAATTCAGTAGGTTAAGGAGAAGATTTTGACATATTTGGTGATCTCATGACTGGAGACGTGTGACATCAAAGACTCCTTCTAGCACAGAAAGAATAATCCACAAAGTTCCTCTGTTTCCCAGGTGGGTGATATTTCTGGATTACTGTGGAAGCCACTTCTAACTTTCTTGTGTGTAGAATGACTCTAGTCAATGTTCCTGCCTATATCATTTTTTGGTGTGTGAAATCACTGAGATTTTGTTTGAGAAGCACTTATAAATGGTAAATGCTCCCTAAATATGTAATGTGATTCATCCTTATTGATTTGGAAGGGAGCTTTGAACTGGAGGATCTGGTGTAAGGGATAAGGGTTGGATCCTTAAATCCTTTGTTGCACTTGCAGAGTTAGCTGGGTGGCGGACTCTGGGTCCTATCCCTGGGAGTGGGATTCCACGCCCCTTCTTCCTCCACTTTCCCCTTGCCCCACTGGGTCGCCCAGGAAGGTGGCAACATGGCATTATACTTACAGTGATTCCTCCCCAGAACAGGTACCCTGAAGTCCCGAGTACAGAGTAGAAGTCATATAGCACAGGGTTGACTCCAATGAAAATATGTATCAGGCCGATGAAGATCTGGATGGCCTGTGAAAGAGAGCAAGTCACAGTGAAAGGACAGAATGGGGGCCTTCTAGTGGCTGAGCAGTATCTTGAACCCCCAGCTGCACCCTTGAATCCTCCTAAGTATTATTTATGTTGGGGCTCACCCTGATCAACACGAGCAGCAGTGAGGGTATGGGGTCCATGCGGAGGTGTGTCTTAAAGCTCCACAGGAGCTGTCAAAGTGTCCTCAGGTTTGAGAACCACAGGCATAAAGGAAAGGCGAGACTATTTACAATTGAGAAAGGAATCTTTTCGACTCAGACTCAGATTTCACAGGTGTCAGAGAGGTAGACTGAGCCGGGGTTTGGGAACAAGACAATTGAGCTTGTCTCACCAGCCAGCTGTGTGACCTCAGGTAAACAACCTCTGTGTGCTTGAGTTTCCTTGTTTGTGGGATGTGGGTAATAGCATTTGTCTTGCAGCATTACTGAGAGACTAGAAACGTTCATAAAACTTCCACACCAGTTCCAGTATGTGGTAGGAGTTTCAATACCCCACACTAACGCTATTCCTCTTTCCCACCCTCTCTGTTTCCTTTCTAGTCTTCCCTCTGCAATTCCCCTTGGAAATGGGTAGCATGAGAGACTATCCCTCTTATCCTCCTGAAATATCCATCTTTTTGTCAAGGAAGATCTAAATCTTTTCTAGGACCCCAATTTGGGATGCCCTCCTGTTTGGGATGGACAGGGTGTTTGTTGTTCTTGCAAACTTGAAGTAACGTTTGGCATCTCTGGGCTTCAGTTTCCTGAGTGGTCAACTGACCAACATGGAGAAGATTGCCCCAGCTCTCATAGTCTGTGGGTCTATGAATTGGTTTGTTTCACATGAATGTCACTTTGTGAGACAGTGTGCTTGAACCTATACACCAACTATTAGTTTCTGCTGTGATTTGGATATTAATTTGGATCTTGAATGTTCCCCAAAGGCCCATATGTTAAAGGTTTGGTCCCCAAGGTGGTGCTGTTGGGAGGAAGTGGGCAGGTAAGGAAGAGAGCTTAAGTCATTGGGGATGTACCCTGAGAAGGTACTTCTTGCATGAGGATTGTGATAAAGTCAGAGTCTGGGCTTTCCCACTCTTTCTGCTGGTTAGCTCACATGTAGCCTTACTCTGTTCGCTTTCCACCATTACTATTTGTTACGCCCACAGAGACCAAACCAAAGGGACTGTCCAATCTTGTATCTAATCTTTCGATGAGAGCAGTGGAGCATGTACAGAGGAAGGATCATATAATGAGCCAGGGAAGTTGGGGTAGTGAGAGAGACTAGGATGTGCACTACCCTATATAACCAGCTTTCTCATGAGACCCACTTTCTGAGGGTGTATCCACAGCAACCCAAGGGCCACCTACTGTACACCATCATTGAAGCAAGCCTCTATCCTACTAGTACTATTAATCTATGGATTTAGGACTTAACTGCATAAATTATAGAATTAAACCATGTTTCAACTGTAGTGCTACCTTAAAATAATTGGGAGCCAAAGTTAACAAATATTTGCCCCATGTTAACAAGGGTAGCAATCACAATATAAAATTTTAATTGCTATGTAATATCATGTACAATCTCTACCTTTTGAGCAGTTCTCACACATATTTGTAATCCTGCTTGGCTTATAACTGGTACTTTTCTTCTTGATATTGTTTTACAGAATTTGGTTTTGGTCAATTTGGGTTGCAAACAGTGCCTTGTATTTGGTATAATTCCCTTGTGCACTCCTAAAGGATCAACAAGGAGAGGTGGGTTGAGGTGAATGTTTGTCTGTTTTCCATTGTTATAATCAAATGTCCGAGGCTGAATTGTTGTTAAAGAAAAGAACTTTGTTTAGCTTATGGTTTGGATGCTGAGAATTCAGCCAACATGGTACTGGCTCCTGCAAGTGTCCCACGGCTGAGTCACCTCATGACAGACAGTATAATGAAGGCAGAATGGATGAGATGGATGGATTCAGAGCAAAACAAGAAGCCAGGAAGAGGGAATGGATTGGTCTTGCTCTTTTTATAGTATTTCTTTCTCAAGAACTAATCAGATATCCCATGAGAAACATGCAAATAGTTTTTGAGGCTGATATCCTTAGTGATTTTCCATTTGGTCCCATTTCTTGAGGGACCCAGCACTGCCCGGCATCACCATACTGGGATTCAGCCAATCTTCCAGAGCAAGAACTCATGAGAACATACTCAAACTGTGTCAAAACCACAGCAGGGTGTTTGAGAGCCTGCCCATTTCCTGACACTGTCCTTGTCTTCCTGCCTCCAGCAGGAGTGAGGATGTGGGGTCCGTGGAGATTTTTTTTTCTATTTGAGTGTCCATGATAACTTGTGAGTGTATCTTTAGGCAATTGCCAAAAGGGATTATAAGACAGAGGTCTTCCTTGTTGTGGAAGGTTAGTGTCTTGGGCACCTCTGAATTTCCAGCTCCTCACAGAGGGTCTGCCGTACTGATGGTTGAATGCATATAGGCTGGGTGTCTGTTACAAGCCAGTCTCTCTGCTCACAGTTGGCCATGGATCCAACAGGGCTAAGGACTATTCTGATTTCCTCATGAAAAGCAACTGAACTGAACGTTGCAAGGTGCCTAGTGAAACTGGGTGAGGCAAAGAAAGGCCAGGATTCCCTTGGTCTAAATGGAAATCAGAAAACCTCGGACATGAAGAGATTTAAGTGTTCACTACGCCTTTTAAACCCAGATCAGAAAGTCGAATCCCAGAAAGGCGAAGGGATGTGGCTGAAGTCAAGGAGCAAATCCAGATAATTCTGAAACTTGGATCCCCTCATTTCCTGGTTAATGCTCTTTTTACTGAAACTATGGCTGACCCTTGCCCCTGACAGCCAAGTTTTATAGTCTCTCCAGATGCTGTGGACATGATTGGTCAGTGAGAGGAAGAAAGGGGGGTCTGGCAACTGCAGGGTTGTTCTGGGCCCAGCTTCCTGAAACTACTGCCCCTCTTTTGTACTTTGCCCTCGAAATCTACTCCACTCCTTTTCTCATCTAAGTATGCTAAAGGATTATGAAGTGCGTCAAACTAGAGAGAGGAAAGCATACTCACCCCTAATGTTCTGACTTCATCATTGATGAATTTCTTGGGATCAAATGCAGTGAATGATCCAAATGACACGCTCCACTGGGACTGGTTTGGGATGTATGTTGGCCCAGGAACAACATTCGGGGGATTCTGAGGGTCTCCAGGTAGAGCCTGGACAGCTGTTGGTCCCTCTGAGTACTGAGTGACTCCAGGGGGAGACTCAAAATTGGTTGTTGTTGAGGGATGCTGGAGCCCAGGTACTTGACGCTGTGCATCTGACATTCTTGTAGGCTTCTGGATCTCCAAGTTTGGCCTTCTTGAGTCACACAGGGTCACTTTTGATGGCACTGGGTAAGTGGTCTCCCTCAAAGGCTGTTCGATGCTCTCAGAGACCACAGTGTACTCAGGTTGGGTAGCATAGGTATTTCCTGGAACAATAATATCAGGAACATTGTTACAGTACAGGGCTGTATTCCCTTGCTCAGTCATGGTGCATCTGTCTGTAAAACAGGTGAGAAAGTTCAATTCCTCTCTCTAAAAGAATGGCAAATTCACCGCATCTCATCCTCAGCTTTAACTTCAACTTTATCGCAATGAAACCACCTTCCATGGTACTGTAAAAGCAAGCTTCCTGCTTTCCTGGGAGTCCCTGTTCCTAGAATATATTAGCTCTTTTTGTCGGTTTGGATTTTCAAGGCTGCATTTTTTTAAAAGGCTTTTTAGTTGCTGAGGACTCTTGCTTATGGCTTGGGTAGTGGCTTTGTGTAGGCCCCTGTTGCAAATAATGCAATCTGCTAGGTTGAGTTTGCTGAGTAGGCACAGATTTCCTCCTCCCCTCCTGGGAAGGAGCTGTGGGACAAGTGGACTGGGAGTGAGCATACTTTCCCATCTCTTCATAGACCATGTCTGTGCTGTTGTGGGATTAGGACCACAGACACCTTTTGCTGAATTCTGTTTATCTGTGTTCACACCAGGGCACTGGAGATGATGGTCATGTCCAAATCTTTATTAGCACACAGCTTCTACTCTGAGCACTGGAAATGGGAACCACTTGGAAGTGAAACCTCAGATGAGATCCTGATTTGACCTCTCATAACCTGGTCCTGGAGAATTTCTTACCTTTTTAATGCCTATGAGCAAATATGCCACTGTATAATTTACTTGTTAATTGTGATTGTAGGTCTTATCTCTGATCTTAAACTGTACACTCCTTGCTGGCAGGAAACCAAAACTCGTAGCACAATACAGCACACCCTGGATTGTGGAAGTATTCTATCAGGCTGCTTTCTGCTTTCTTTAAATTGTTAGTTTAATATGGGGCTTGGTTGCATTTTCCCTTCTGTCCCAACCACTGCCACAGTAAGAAAAGACCCTAAAGAGAAAACAAAGAAAAAAAAAAAGACCCTAAAGAGTCAACAGTCAACTATGGCTTGACATTATTTAGTATTAACCATCTGGTACTCAAGCTCAAAGGCAGGCCAGGATCAGGACTAAGAGATTAGACAGCCCTGGACCGATTTGACATTTAGTGGTTACATGACCTTGGGTGAACTGCCTAATCTCTCAGTTTCTTACCAATGAAAAGTGGATGGGACTGGTACTATGGGTATAGTTGCTATCTGAAGGGCCGGAGTCTTACATAGGCACCAGTTATAGTCACAGCTCCTCCTCCTACTTCTTTTTAAAGATTTATTATTTTTAAAATCTTTATTTATTTATTATTTTTATTATCATTTTTTGACACAGTTCCATAAGCTCCTGGGATTTCTCTTATCCCCTTCTCAATCCCCGCCCCCCTGCACCCTCCCACTGAGTTCCCCTATATCATTACTATAGTATAGTTCTTCATACACAATCATATGTCCATCATTGTAGGCATGGACAATGGCAGAGAGTGCAGCATCCTATTGTCAAGATATAGTAAACAGTTTCATTGTAAGTCCACCTTGGATTTATTTGTTGTTTTTTTTTTTTTATTGGAAAGCCAGATATACAGCGAAGAGGAGAGACAGAGATGAAGATCTTCCATCTGTTGATTCACTCCCCAAGCAACCACAATGGCCTGAGCCTGAGTCGATCCAAAGCCAGGATACAGGAGCCTCTTTCAGGTCTCCCACATGGTTGCTGGGTCCCAAGGCTTCAGGCAGTCCTCGACTGCTTTCTCTGGCCACAAGCAGGGAGCTGGATGGGAAGCAGGGCCTGCAGTATTAGAACCAGAGCCCGTACAGGATCTCGGCATATATAAGGTGAGGACTTTAGCTGCTAGGCTAATGCATGTGTCCCAAGCTGCTCTACTCTGAATCCATGTCTTTGTTGATGTGCCTGGGAAAGCAGTGGACGATGGTACAGGTATTTGGACCCTTGAACTCATACGGGAGACTCAGATGAAGTTCCTGGCTCATGGCTTTTGCCTGGCCTAGCCCTGGCTATTATCATCACTTGGAGAGAACCAATGAGTAGAGGATCCCTCTCTTTGTATATCCCTCTCTCTCGGTAACAAAGATTTTTGAATAAATAAATGAAGCTCTCTTTAAAAAAGAAAGGTGGATGACAGTAGTACCTTACTCAGAAAGTGTTTTAGAGATTAGTGAGAAAACTTCCAGCACAGAACTTATCACAGATGGAATATTCAATTACCATCTGTTCTTTGTGGAAGGGCAGGGACCACAAATAAAAGAAGGGCTGTTGTTTTGGATATTTCTCCTAAATGATCCCAAACTATTTGTTTCCAATACTTACAGCAGTAGATCTTAAACTATGGTCTCTAGTATCATTGGAGAATGTATTGAAAATGTGAAATCTCCATTCATTCCCTAGAACTACTGACTGTCAAGCTCCTGGCCTGGGGTCTACAATCTATGGTTTCACAAACTCCAGGGGTTTCTGATCCAGTATAAATTTGAGAACCATTGCCATCCTGAAATGTTTTATACTTCTGCTTGGTGATTTTACTAAACGTTTTCTAGAATCCCAGCAGTTAGAAATATTGGCTATGTAGAACTTGAGTTAATTCACAATAATTGTCATATTTAAAAATCTTGCTGGTTTCTAAGTATCTGTTTTCCCATAATTATCATTATTTTCCCACAATTGTCATTGGTCTATCATGTGACAGCGAAGACATTGGCCATTTCTTCCCACTCATTTTGATCCCATACACATTTGGGTAGACCGAGGCTCTCAAGATATGATGAGCACCTGTGGTCATGGAACAATAGTAGAGAATCTGGGACACAAGCATATATTTTTTTTCCTGACTGCTATTTCTGCTGCACTATGCTTTCATTTCTTAAGAAAATATTTATCAGGAGACATACAAATGGCAGAATGTTGAGCTCAAGCTACTTCTGAGCATCCCTTGCATTCTCTGAGAAACAGCATGTTTTCCAGGGGAGGAATTTGCAACAACACCTACAGCAACCTTGAATATCGATGCCTCACATGGCTGTGATCTTAAGGCAAGCCATTCAGTGATGTGTTACTGCTATGATCATTTTGCAAAAGAGGCCAATTTGATCAAAACCACAACTAAGAAATGCTGAAGCTGAAATTTGAATTAAGTGAGCAGAAGTATGTCTGTTTACAATTTTTTTAATGAATACTATATTGAATGATGTACTCTGATGCAAGGAAAAATGAACTCTTCCTGTTCTCATTTTTCTAGAACAGCCTTTCTTCCTGCATGGCTGAAAAACAATGCATCTGCAGACCCAACAAATGACACCAAATGACCCCAGCATGGATGCTCTTGAGATATCTTCATTTTTACCGCCTATGAGGACAATGTCATTAACCAGGCTGGCTGCTCAGTTATAGCTTTTCAACTAGCTCTAGATCAAGGTCCTGATAAATAAATAAGTAAACCTTTACCGTATGTCAAGGGTGCTGGACAGGGATGGGTCAGCTGGAAGGTGCACTACAGGATTTCCAGCCTTCTGTGGCTCTGTGTGCAGAGACCCAAGCCTGCTTCATGAACCTGTTCCCAGTCTTCAATTACCATCCAGCTGGCCATTCAGCTGGCCAAATTCTGCCTCTCTAAGGAAGTGTTCCGAAAGCCCTGTCTTGCTAAAGGACACCCCTGATGATCAAGGTTCACAAGGGACATTTCTCAGGGTCTGTCTAGATCTCAGCTGATGACTCTCAGAGTCTGCAGAGAAATGGGAGTCTTACCTTGCAGTTCTACCAGCTTCGGACTGTTCCTTCTTCAGGCTCTGTGCATTTCTGTGTGTGGTTCTAGAGATTTCTGATGAAATGAGAAAAACCAGGTTTCTCTTTCAGGCTTCAAAGTCCACTTCGCAGTTTCATTTCCAGAGAATGAGTCTATTGTCACATTCTTTTGCCCCTTGGAGTGTTTATGGCCTTGGTTGGAGTAGGATTCCATGCAAACTCCTTCCAAAGTCTGACGCTGAGAAAGTGAGAAATCCAGATGTGATTAAGGACAATGCAATTGACCCATCAATCACTAAGATTACACCTATTAACCAATTAGTGGATATTTATTGAGCTTGTACCATGTATTGGATGGGTTGTTGAATACTGTGATACAGAATGTACTGGAATGTGCAATGAGTGGATGGGCCAGAATATGACCATTGTTGGATGTTTGCAGTACAATTATGGCTGGGTGTGAACCAATAAATCATGAGGGAACAAGTGGTTGGGGAGTGTCAGAGATCTAGGCTGTTTCTGGGAGTGTGTTGAGTGGTGGGACACTGATACTCAACTGAAGTTAGGTATTGAAAGGAAGGTTAGACTAAAGCTACATTCAAGGAGAAGCATCTCTCAGAAGAGTGGTGAAGGAGCAGCTGTGTGTCTGCATTTAATTCATTCTTCAAGGCCCATCTTAGGGTATTTTCCCCCATGGAGTCTCCTTTCAACTTTACATTCAGAAGAAATTTCTTTAAAATCCCCAACATTTCAAATGTGACTGCTTGGCAGTGGGGGTATCCTCAACTCTTGGTACTATCGGATCACCCTGTCCTTTCATTTCACATGGGTTGGCTAAAGCCACAATCCTGTTTTAAGGTGGCTCCACTCCCAGTAACAGTGAGGATTTTGGGTTATGGACTCGTTTCTTCAGTCACTTTTGCCCCAACATTCTAAACATTTCTGATGTCACTCAACCTCATCTTTCACAGCTGTTCCAGGGGCTCAGTCACAGGCCATAGCTCCTGTTACCAGTGGATGCCTCCTGCCCTGCCAATGACTTATCAAAGTCCTGTCTTCTTACTCCCTTTTCTCAGCACATGGTGATATTAGGACATGGGCCATTACACAGTGAGGAAGTTAAATTGAGGTTCATAGGGTGGGTCCTGATTTGGTATAACTGGTATCTTCATGAGAAGGGATGAAGGTCGACGCTGGCAGAGATAGGAAAATGAGAATGCTGCATGCGCAGGAGGCAGAGGAGCCATGGGTGTCCCAGCCAAGCAATGCCCAGTGTCGTCCTAAAGCAGCAGCAGTCAGGGAGAGTGATGGCCACACTGTCC